GGACCATGCCAGGGCGACCTGCAAGTGGAGAGATGCGACCTGCCGACGCTGCAACAGAAGGGGTCACATCGCCGAAGCTTGCAGAGCCGAGGAACCAGCCACAGAGCCATCCAGCCACCGTCCCCGCGAGATTCGGAAGGATTACCAGAGGTCATCCAAACGGTCCTCTGGCCCATCCAGACGCAGAGACGATGATTTTCCCCGGAGCGGAGCGGTCCACCAGACGACCATCGCACACACGGACTCACACAATGCCACCAAGTTCCACGTGACCATCCACGTGGAGGGAGCACCCTGCGAAATGGAGGTAGACTCGGGCTCGGTCTACTCCATCATAGACTGGCAACAACTGAAGCGCCTGCAACCCAGCATCACCAAACGTGACCTGAAGCCATTACACTCCAAGCTCATCGACTTTGGGGGCAACCCCATTGGAGTGTTAGGAAGAGCCATCATCCGAGTCGCCTACAACGAGTTCAAAGGCAAGCTCCCCATCACCGTTGTGAAGGACAGCCGACCGAACCTGCTAGGAGTGGAGTGGTTTAAGCCGCTGGGGCTTTCAATCGAAGGCATCAACCAAATTCGCAGGGACGAACTCGACAACCTCATCGAAGAGTTCAAGGAAGTCTTCGATGGTAAGCTGGGGAAATTTGTGGGGAGGCCAATCTCTTTTAATCTGGACAAGGGAATCACCCCAATTAGGCTGAAGCCCCGCCGGGTTCCATTTGCCCTGCGGCCGAAAGTAGACGAGCAGCTGGATAAGCTGATCGCCCAGGGCATCCTGGAACCGATCGATCATGCTTCATGGGAGACCCCCATTGTGACCCCACTGAAGCATGATGGGTCTGTGCGCATCTGCGCCGACTATCGTTGTACCATCAACAAGGCGTTGGCACAGAGCGCATACCCAGTCCCAGTAGTGCAGCACCTGTTGCATTCCCTGGGAACTGGCACAATTTTTGCAAAACTGGACCTGGCCCAGGCTTACCAGCAACTGCCAGTGGACGAAAAAACGGCGGAGGCCCAAACCATAGTCACACACAGGGGGGCATTCAAATGCAACCGTCTCCAGTTTGGAGTCAGCGCTGCCCCCGGCATCTTCCAATCAATGATGGAACGCCTCCTCCAAGGCGTTCCAGGGGTGGTGCCATACTTTGATGATGTGCTGATCTCCGGAGACTCACAGGCACAACTCCTTGATAGGCTCAGGCTTGTCCTGCAGCGCTTCAAGGCCAAGGGCTTGAGAGTCAGGAGAGATAAGTGCATCCTAGGAGTACAGGAAGTCGAGTTCCTGGGCTATCTCATTGATAGCACTGGCATCCACCCCACCAAATCTAAAGTGAAGGCAATCCATGAAGCTCCGAGCCCCAAAAACAAAACGGAACTTCAGGCATTCCTTGGGTTGCTCAACTTTTATGCAATCTTTCTTAAACAGAAAGCCACAGTCGCTGAGCCACTCCACCGCCTGCTGGGGAAAGCGGCTTCCTGGAAGTGGGGCCAGGAAGAGGAAGCAGCATTCCGAGCCGTGAAAGGACTTTTAACCTCAAAAAGCGTCCTCATCCAGTACAATGAGACGCTCCCCATTAAGCTAACCTGCGATGCGTTGCCCTACGGGGTGGGGGCAGTCCTCAGCCACGAACTGCCCAACGGCTCTGAAGCCCCAATAGCATTTTTCTCAAAAACCATGTCTGGCGCGGAACGCAACTACAGCCAGCTGGACAAAGAAGCCCTGGCCATCGTTGCAGGAGTGAAACGATTCCACGAGTAACTCTACGGGAGGAGTTTCACCATAGTCACCGATCACAAGCCACTCCTGGGGCTCCTCGCAGGCGACCAACCCACACCGACCTTCATGTCCCCGCGGATGACGAGGTGGGCCATCTTCTTAGCCGGCTACTCCTACAGGCTCGTGCACCAGCCAGGCACAGCCATAGGAAACGCCGATGCGCTGAGCAGATGCCCATTGAAGGATCCTGTGGAAGACCCAGCCCCCACGCTCCACCTATTCCACATAGACAACGACGCCAGCTGTCCAGTCTCGTCTGCAGATGTGGCCGTCCACACCCAGAAGGACCCCACACTCCGCCAAGTGAAGTCCTGGATCCTCAGGGGGTGGCCATCGCAACAGACGGAGGAGAAGTTCAGCCCGTTCGCCAGGAAGCAGAAGGAGCTGTCCACCATGAAGGGCTGCTTACTATGGGGAGACAGGGTGCTGATCCCAAGCACTCTGCAACGGCGGACACTCGAAACGTTGCATAAAGGGCACCCAGGCATCGTCCGCATGAAGGCCCTGGCACGGAGTTACGTCTGGTGGCCCGCACTGGACAAAGACATTGAAGAATGGGTCTCCAGATGTGACCCGTGCCAGGAAGTTCGCCCAGCGCCGCCACAAGCCGAAACAGCGAAGTGGGAGACCCCCAGCAACCCCTGGTCGAGGATACATATCGACTTCGCGGGCCCGATGCAAGGGCGCCACCTCCTCATCGTGGTAGATGCCTTCTCCAAGTGGCTCGAGGTGGTACCCATGGCATCTACCACAATGGAAGCGACGATCCGGGCCCTGCGCCGCCTTTTCGCCACCCATGGCCTACCGGATGTGCTGGTCTCTGACAACGGCCCCCAACTCACATCCCTGGCCATGGAGGCGTTCCTGGCAGGACTGGGCATCCGCCATGCCCTGTCCGCCCCGTACAGGCCAGCTGGGAACGGACAAGCGGAACGGATGGTGAGGCTCACCAAGGAGGCACTCACCAAGATGGGCACGGGCGACTGGCAGGAAAGAATAGACAACTTCCTCCTCACCCAGCACATCACGCCGCATGCCACCACCCACAAGAACCCGGCCGAACTGTTGATGGGCAGAAGGTTGAGGTCACCACTGGACCGGCTGCACCCACAATACAGCCCAGAAGTGACCGCAACGGCCAGCCGCCCGCTTCGCGCCTTCAGCAAAGGAGATTCGATTTTCGCGCTGAATTTCCACGGCTCTCCTAAGTGGCTGAAGGGGAAGATAGACAGCACAACCGGCCCAAGATCCTACACCGTGGAGCTGGAAGATGGACAGGTCTGTAGACGTCACATCGACCAGCTCCGGAAAAGGTGGGGGGGGAGTGCAAGAAAACCAGCCTGACGGGGGAGGCCTACAACACCCCGACGAGGTAGGCCTGCAACACCCCTGCGAGGTAGGCCTGCAACACCCCGGCGAGGAAGGCCTACGACACCCCTGCGAGGTAGGCCTACGACACCCCGACAAGGTAGGCCTACCACACCCCGGCGAGGCAGACCACCACCACCCCGACGAGGCCGGCCAAGCACACTACCAGGCGCTGACACAGCGTCAGTCCGGAGCGGTAGACCGGGGTCAGCCGAATGGAGGGTGGCAACACCAACCCAGCGAGGTGGGCACCCGGCACGACAGGGCGAGAGACCGCCATCACAGCACACGAGTAGACCGGGACCTGCCCAGAGGGGAAGCACCACACCCCGCCAGCGAAGGCAACCCACATCAGCCCTGCCAGGGAGACCTCCACTCCAGGCGAGTAGACCGGGGACCATCGGAGATGGGCACACCGCAGCCCATGGGCAAGGGTGGCACACGACTCCCCGGCGAGAGGGATCCCCGTCCAGCACAGAAGACAACCCGGCAACAACAACAACCCAGCCCAGATGACCCCAGCCACCAACCTGCGGTAGACCAGGGACTAGGGCGAAGGGAAAGCCGACAACAACCCGGCCAGGGAGGCCTGCGCCACCCCGACAGGGGAGACCGCCACCAACCCGCGGAGGTAGCCCCGCAACAACAGCCCGACCAGGGCGACCACTACCGACCTGACGGGGGAGGCCAACACCAGCCCGGCCAAGGAGACCTGCGCCACCCCTGCGAGGTCGGACACCACAACCCGAACCAACACCATCCACAGCTGGCAGACCGGACCCGAGGGCACCGACCCGAACCACCCACCAGGCAACAACGAGCCGAACCGCGACCGAACCGCAGCGCCCGGGAGACCGGGGAAGAGCAAGTGACAGCCGGTGACTTACCAAGACTCAGACGCTCTTCCCGGGTCGGAACCGAGCAGCATCAACGAGGCGAGAGATCCACAGGCCAGGAGGAAGACCACCAGAACCAGCCATCCAGGGCCTGCGGTCCGGCCGGAGGCGCTGAGGGTGACCCCGCACACTCGCCAGCCGAACCGAGCCCGGTTCCGGGGAAGGAACCAGAAGACGGAGGAGCCCCGTCCGTCCAGGGCGGGGACGAGGAAGAAGTGAGACTGCGCAGGTCAACTAGGGCGCTGAGGCGTCCTACGTACCTGCGGGACTACGTGACGTTTATAAATGAACTTTGAAATTTTTTTCGGACTAAGGGGGGAGGAGTGTTATGTCCTTATAAGGACATCCGCCCGGATTGGCTGCCAGCCATCGGGCGGGAAAGTTTGAATCGCTGTCAGGGGCGGTGCGACTGCCGGAGCGAATATAAGGAGAGCTCCGGCAGCGCACAGCCAGTCTTGCTACTGTTTCTTGTTCTCAATAAAGTTACTAATGTAACGAGCTGGTCGCGTCTTTCATTCCTGCGCCGATCTAACATGTCTGCCTCCGAGTTTGTGTGTAGGCTTGCACGTATGTGTGGAGTCTGGTGCAGTTGTGTGCATGCCTGTTTTGAGTATTTGAACTCAAGTTGTGCAACTCCTGATCCATCAACCATCCCTGCATATACCGTAGAAGTTTAAAAGATTTTCTGTTCCTTTTGGTTTTTTTCAAGCTGAAGGGTGTGAGGTTCGTGCTTGAATCAGTTTTGGTAATTTAATTTGGTAATCTTCCAGGAAGCACTTAGAAAAATGTGGTTAGGAGCACTTATTCCTTAACAACCTCTCAAAGCGGAAATTATAGGGGGGGAAAAAACACTTTCCCGGACTTCAACTTACTGAAAGAGATTTATTGCCCCCCCCCCCCTCTCTCTCCCCCTCCCTCCCTCCCTCCCCATCTCTCTCTCTCTTGAACAGGATTGGAGACTTTTGGTCCAGTTATCAGCTCTTCCACTCTTTCTGGAGGATCTCAACTCAGTTCAGAAAGGAGAAATCTTCAGAAGGATGTGAGTAGAACTTGAATGGTTATTTGGCTTGGAGAGAGAGTACATGAAGGGCTCTGATTAAGAGGAATATTTGCAGCTTAGGGTTGAAATGAGAGGTCCTTGGTGCTCTCTGAGCTTGGTTGTTTTCTTGCAGACAGTTCGTTTATTTATTATTCATATTTATTAGTCATATTTCTATGCCGCCCACTCTCCGAGGACTCTGGGCGGCTTACACCAAAGACAGTATACTAAATAGCATACTGCCCCCAACAATCTGGGTCCTCATTTTACCCACCTCGGAAGGATGGAAGGCTGAGTCAATCGTCAGTGCATTTTGCATAGTTTGAGTAATGAAACCTCTGCAGGAAAACCACCAAGCTTAGAGAGCACCAAGGATTCCACATACAAAGGGCTGTACGTCCACAAATGTTGAACTCTGGCCCCATCTTCAACAGCTTATACCCTTGCCATCTATAGGTGATTCATGGTGGTATTTGTCCATGGCTATCTCAATCCTTGGATTTAAATCAATGCCTCCATTGGCACTTCAGCTAGGTTCCCCAACCATCTTTTTATAGGTGCAAAGGGAAGCGTGGACAATCTGATATTTTGTGAAAGAAACAATGTTGGGTAATCTTTGGATGCATGCCCTAGTTTCAAGACGTCACACCCAGTGTGCCATCTCTTCCAAATAGTTGAGATGAGACAATCCGTGCCCCATTGGGTGACCATGTCAGAGATATTTCCTTACTTAAACAGAGAAACAGAATGACCACAGGCAGGCAAAAAAAAAGTAGTGGGAGCAGGAGAAACTTCTGATTTCTTGCTGGCTTTCTCATTGAGTTTCCTTTTGGGAAAGAAAATCTCTATAAAATGTTTTATAGATGGCATTATTCACCTGCAAGATTAGTGAATATATATAAAAATAAATCTGTTAAATATTGGAAATGCAAATACCAAGCTCATATTATCATATATGGTGGACATGTCCCAAAGCAAAAAAATACTGGAAGAAAATACACATATGGCTGGAAACTGTGACAACATAGATTTGAAACCTGAGACATTTCTGTTGAGCATGGTTCCAGGAAAATAATAAGGGTAACACATATTTACTTTTACGTATTTTAACAGCAGCCAGGATTGTATATGCACAATACTGGAAAAATCTAGAAACCTCTACAGATGATAATATAATCAAAAAAAATCTGGAATGTGCAGAAATGGATAGGTTAACTCTAAAAATCAAAGGAAAAGAAGTGGCTGCTGCTAGATAAGAGAGGGAGCGAGGGATTGTGAGAGTGGCTTGGAAACTGTCATGGAACATTGAAATGAAGATCTCATGGCTGCAGCAGCAGCGCAGTGGCAGCCAATACTCCTGAAGCAACCAAAACTTTCCAAAATTTCTTTCCTTCTGGAGTCATGGATCCCAGATTTTGGATACATTAGCCCATTTAAGCCCATTGATTCAAAAATTGTTGCCCAGTTAAAGGTCATGGCAGTGAGAGTTTTAATAGTATATACATTTATGGAATTTAGGGCCATGAATTGGCAATTAATAGGATTTGGGATGTGGTTAAGTGGCTAAGATGCTGAGCTTGTCGATTGAAAGGTCGGCAGTTCAGCGGTTCGAATCCCTAGTGTTGCGTAACGGGGTGAGCTCCCGTTACTTGTCCCAGCTTCTGCCAACCTAGCAGTTCGAAAGTACATTAAAAATGCAAGTAGAAAAATAGGGACCACCTTTGGTGGGAAGATAACAGCGTTCTGTTTGCCTCTGGTGTTTAGTAATGCCGGCCACATGACCACAGAGACATCTTCGGACAGCGCTGGCTCTTCAGCTTTGAAAGGGAGATGAGCACTGCCCCCTAAAGGGAGTACTAGGGAGTGACTAGTACATATGTGCAAGGGGAACCTTTACCTTTACCTTACCCTAATAGAATTTGAGGGAGTCTGAAATAGAAGATACAGTACACTTAACTAGGATAAATGGTTTCAGTGAAGATATATCTGACTAATCAAATGTAGGTTTAATATGCCCAATTTTTCTACACAATGCAGCTACTTGAAATGATCTGGAAACTTATTTATTAAACTATTTGATTCCTTGCTAAATAATATAACAATTTGAGATGTACTCTTTGAGGTTTTCCTCAAATGAAGAATGCTTTTTGTTTTTTCTAATGGGGCGTTATGTTTTCAATTTCTTCTGCATCTTCAATTTAATCCATTATCTTTGAAAGAAATAAATATTTTATTTCAATAAGCTGCATATTTAGGAGGGAAGGAAAGTGAGGAGCATTGGTTCATCCAGTGTGGCATTGTTTACACCACCTCCTGGGTTTTAACATAAATCTTTTTTGGCTTTAGCTAGAGATGCGAAGGAAGAACCTGGATTTTCTTGCTACAAAACTTGGGCTTTGCAATTAACTTTCCATCAATTGATGGTGTTTCAGGACGTCTAACCATCACTTTTTAGCAGGGGTGAAATTCAGCAGGTTCTGACCAGTTCTGGAGAACCGGTAGCGGAAATTTTGAGTAGTCTGGAGAACCGGCAAATACCATTTCTGGCTGGCCCCAGAGTGGGGTGGGAATGGAGATTTTGCAGTATCCTTCCCCTGCCACGCCCACCAAGCCTCATCCACCAAGCCACAACAGCCCACCAAGCCACGTCCACAGAACCGATACTAAAAAAAAAAAAGAATTTCACCACTGCTTTCTAGATTCCAGGGGTACCCAAAACAAGGTCATTTCAATTCCGTGGAGGATTATTCCAAAAAGCAAACATGAGATTTTAACGAATCAGAGAAAAATGTACATCCTTCCAGTCTGGCACATCACACTATATATATATTTATTTGTAGGACTATTCTCCTTTTTTCTATTTAATACTGCACCAATTGCCTTTTCGCTGAGATCCGACTGAGAACGTCACTAGTTCTTCTACTTAGCCGTGTAGTCTAATCCCTTTTAACCAGGATTGCCCCCTTCTGGTTATCTCATTATATTGTCTTCAATAGAAATAAATTAAAAGTCTCACTGGACACAATGCAGAATGTAAGGCAGGAGGTGATACCTAGGGGAACTTCTAATTAAATAGTCGAATTCATTTATTTGGCAGATTCACAAATTGGGATAAGGTGCTAACACTTTTATGCTTGCTATTCCTCTTCTGTCTTGAGAAGCAGCCTAGATGGAAACCGTTCAGTCTTTAGAACTTCTCTAGTTCAAAGGTCTTCAAACTTGGCAGCTTTAAGACTTGTGGACTTCAACTCCCAGAATTCTCCAATTTGGCAGCTTTAAGACTTGTGGACTTCAACTCCCAGAATTCTGGGAGCTGGCTGGAGAATTCTGGGAGTTGAAGTCCACAAGTCTTAAAGCTGCCAAGTTTGAAGACCTCTGCTCTAGATTGTCTTTGGAGGATGTTCTGAGCTCATTTCATCCCCGGTAATGGACAAAGGATGCTACTGGTACCGGGTTTTTCTTCTTCTTACAGACAGTCCTCGACATACAACCATAATAATAGAGTCTGCCCATTATGATCGTATATGGTAATAGCCGTAAATTGGGTCGGTCATGCGACTGTCCAAATTTTTATGACCTTTTTTTTTTTGTAGCAGTTGCTAAAGCGAACAATGTGGACGTTAAACGAATGCCACAGTTACTAAGCAAACCCATTGTTCACCGTGGCACAGTTTTGCAAAAAAACAGAAGTAACTAAAACTGTCATAAAACACAGTCATGTGACTATTGGGTTACTGCAAACTGCTGGAAATATGGTCATGTCATCAAGCACCCAAAGAACGTCATCAGAACTTCAGAACTGGGTGATGATTCCCTTTTTCCAAGTAGATTGTGACTTCCAATGGTTGCTTAGCAACTGGTCACAATTCAAGGATTAACCTGTACTCTGCAGTACAAGGCAGCTGTAACCTGGCTGCCTTGATAATTTTTCTTGGGACCTTTGTATGAGCAGCCAGGGAGGCTGCAGACTACCGGAGAGAGGCAGACAATAGCATTCATCCATCAACCATTTTGTCACTAAGATAAGGTCAGGAACACATATCACAAGAGCTTCATTGATTTTTTTTTTTGTCTACTTTGAATATAAAGTAGACAAAAACCTTTTAATGACCCTGGGGTCCCTATTCCGGATAGAATTGGGATGACCAAATAGAGCTGAGCATTTTTTAAAAAAAATTTGATTTATATGCCGCCCTTCTCCGGAGACTCAGGGCGGCTTACAATGTGTTAAGCAATAGCCTTCATACTTTTGTATATTTATACAAAGTCAACTTATTGCCCCCACAAACTGGGTCTTCAATTTACCTACCTTAGAAAGGATGGAAGGCTGAGTCAACCTTGAGCCTGGTGAGATTTGAACTTACAGTAATTGCAGACAGCTGGTGTTAATCACAATGTTCAGTCTGCTGAGCCACAAGGTCCTTTAATGGCTGCATGCCCTTCCTGATGCCAGATGGAGTTCGCAGCAGATTTTTTTTCTTTGCACCCTAGGAGAGAAACATCTTTGAACATAACTTCAAGTACCAATTCTTCTTCATTAAACTGAATAAGAAATTCTTGGAACCACACTTTTTGTGTTTATGATTGTCCATGAAAGACCAGATCCACACATCAATAGCAATACCAATAGCACTTAGACTTATATACTGCTTCACAGTGCTTTTACAGCCCGCTCTAAGCAGTTTACAGAGTCAGCCCCTTGCCCCCAACAATCTGGGTCCTCATTTTACCAACCTCGGAAGGATGGAAGGCTGAGTCAACCATGAGCCAATGAGGACTGAACTCCTGGCCGTGAGCAATGAGTTAGCCTGCAATACTGCATTCTAACCACTGCGTCACCATGAAGGTTCAATTAAATTGAATCAGTCTTCTCAACTAATGGTTAGCACCTGCTTGGAATTAAATAAGGGTCTACGGCACTCAAGTGAGGTTGGCCTTAGTTCACTTGTGGCTACATAAGGATTCTAGGCTGAGCCCTCTTTTCACGCCACCTCCAGGTTCTGACATTTTTTTAATCAAAAAAATTTCATTTTTTAAGCTTCTTGATTGGTAGCATCCTTATGTTTGAATCTCATTGAGTGTCTTATATCTTCTCTCCCCCACACCACCATTTTTTTTTTTTTTTTTCTCCCTAGGAGATGAGTGTGTTCCCATTGCTTTTCCTGCAAACACAACGCAAAACATGTCATGCAATGCCACCATTGATGAGTTCCGGAGTCAGGTGTATCCTGTGACATACTCCATCATCTCAATCCTGGGATTTATGGGAAATGGCTTCGTGTTGTGTGTCCTCATCAGGACCTGCCAGGAGAAGACAGCTTTCCAGATATACATGTTCAACCTTGCCATTGCAGATCTTCTCTTTGTATGCACCCTGCCCCTACGAGTGGTCTATTACCTCTATAACGGCAACTGGTTCTTTGGTGACTTTTTGTGCCGGATCAGCTCCTATGCCATGTATGTCAACTTGTACTGTAGCATCCTGTTCATGACGGCGATGAGTTTCTTCCGTTGCATTGCCATTGTTTTCCCCATCTGGAATATCCAATTTATCTCCCGGAAGAAGGCCATCATCGTCTGCGTTGGCATTTGGTTCTTCGTAATCGTGACCACCACTCCGTTTTTGCAGAAAAGTGTCCAGTTATCTGATGAAAATATAACCAAATGCTTTGAGCCACCGAGGAACAAAGATGTGAGGAAGCTGATGGTTCTCCACTACATTTCACTGTTCGTGGGTTTCATCTTTCCTTTCATCACCATCACCATCTGTTACGCCATGATCCTAAACAAGCTCCTGAAGAATTCCATGCATAAGAAAGAAGGCACTCGTAGAAAAGCCATCTGGATGATCGTGATTGTGACCGTCGTCTTCCTCGTGAGCTTCACCCCGTATCATGTCCAGCGCACGGTCCACCTCCACTTCATGAAAGACAAGACTTCCTGCGAGAAGAGTCTTTACATGCAGAAATCCGTGGTGATAACCTACTCCCTTGCAGCCTTCAACTGTTGCTTCAACCCACTTCTCTATTACTTTTCTGGAGGTAATTTCCGTAGGAGACTTTCCACTTTCCAAAGGGGCTCTATTTCCAGTTCTCATCAGCGGAAGATGTCAAAGATGGAGGAAGCCGTGAATGGAAACGCTGTGCTACACAGGAACTTGTAAGGGTCTTTTCATCTGTTCCTCATCAAAAACATACATTTTGGAAGTGATGGGAAGACTGTAGGTCTAGCAACCTGTAAAACTCGAACTATGAGTTGGTGTGAGCAATGCCCTTGCCATTATACCAACTCCCTCCTAACAGATGCCAACCTGAGATGCTGGTTATTGTGTGTCAGTGGTTTATCTAGTTTCTCAAAATGGTGCCCAGAGGAGCAAGTGTGTGTATATAGACCAGAGGTCTTCAAACTTGGCAGCTTTAAGACTTGTGGAGTCTTAAAGCTGCCAAGTTTGAAGACCTCTGATATAGACATTCGCTTGGCCACCACCAGATTCCTTGCTTCAACTGTATTTCCAAATATGTCTCTGGGACCTGAATGAAACTTAAAAGATATTTTAAGACATAAAGATGATGATGAAATCAATCCAATGCTTTGTTTGGAACTGTGCTCAAAAAAAAAAAAAACTTGCTCAAAAAAAAAAAGGCAGTGATAAGCAAGGGAATAGGGCAAGAGAAGGGACTAAAGGAATTGTAAGTAGCTTTGAAGCTGATGCCTTGTAATAGCCAGTTTGGTCTAGTGGTTAAGGCACCAGGCTAGAAAGTGGGAGATTATGAGTTCAAGTCCCGTCTAAGCTATGAAAGTCAGCTGGGTGACTATGGGCCAATCACCAGGAGACGGTGAATTCTAGCCCCACCTTAGGCATCAAAGGTGGCTGGGTGACTTTGGGCCAGTGCCTCTTTCTCTCTCCCCACCCACCTCACAGAGTTGTTATTGTGGGGAAAATAGGAGGAAGAAAGTGTATTGGACATATGCACACCTTATTTGTTAAAAATAATAAAGATGAGATATAATATAAAGAACTGGTTATATCCCCTAGTAAGCTATTTTGCAAATAGACAATTTCCTCCTCCAGAAGACCTTTTGCAATCAAGATTTTCAAGACACCAAAAGGATCCAATGACCACCCCAAACCTTGGGGATTTCTGCTCTAAACCAGACAACTCGATTTCATAATAATGCTTTGCTTTTTCTTCTCTGAAGCCCAAGACTGTTTGCGCTTGAACACCTCTCTGCATGCCACGCTTATCCGATACAAATCTCTTCCGTCTTTTTGCCCATACATGGAAGAGCAAGTTGAATATCTTTGGTTGTATTACTACTGCTTTGTAAATCCTTAGTAAGGCCACACCTGGAATACTGCATGTGGTTTTGGTCACCATATTACAAAAAGGATCTTGAGACTTTGGAACAAGTGCAGAGAAAAGCAAGTAAGATGATTTAAGGAGACTTAACGGATGAAGAACGGTGGCAGGAATTGGGTATGTCTAGTCTAGAGAAAAGAAGGACTAGGGATGACATGATAGCAATTCTTTAGTGTTTGAGGGGCTGCCCCAAAGAAGAGGGGGGCCAACTTATTTTCCAAAGCATCTGAAAGCAGGACAAGAAACGATGCATGGAAACTAATCCAGGAGAGAACCAACCTGGAATTAAGAAGAAACTTCCTCAAAGTGAGAACAATTAACCAGTGGAACAGCTTGCCTTGTGAAGTTGTGCTTTATCACTGGGGAGGTGGGGTTAAGAAGAGACTGGACAGCCACTTGTCTGAAATGGTATAGGGCAGGGGTGTCAAACTGGTGGCCCATGGGCCAGACACATTACGCGCAGGCCATGGCCACCCCAGCTCGGGAAAGGCAAAAAACCGTCGTGATACGTCATGTGACATCAATGTGACGTAGCAAGTTTGACACCCGTGGTATAGGGTCATCTGCTTGAGCAGGGGGTTGGGCTAGAAGACCTCGAAGGCCCCTTCCAGCTCTAGTCAGAATTGAATTGATGTCTAATGTGATATTATGGCTGCCTACCCTTGCTGTGATATTCTCAACTCCAACAAGTACCTGACTATGAGCATATATGGATTGCTGAGATGAACTATATGGGGAAAAAGCCAGGGGTGCTATTCAGCAGGTTCTGACAGGTTCTGGAGAACCGGTTGCGGAAATTTTGAGTAGTTCGGAGAACCGGCAAATGCCACCTCTGGCTGGCCCCAGAGTCGGGTGGGAATGGAGATTTTGCAATATCCTTCCCCCAGGAGTGGGTAGGGAATGGGGATTTTGCAGTATCCTTCCCCTGTCACGCCCACCAAGCCACGCCCACCAAGCTATGCCACACCCACCGCCACGCCCACAGAACTGGTAGTAAAAAAAATTGAATTCCCCCACTGGTTCAAAAAGCCATATTTTCCTAACCTGGGAATCTCCTGATGAATTGGACTTTTTAAAATTCTGGAATCCTTTGTGCTGGTTAGAGATTCTAGTAATTTTTGGTATAATGTGTTGAGGAGAATACTGAATTGGGAAAAAACTAAGGTTAATTAAGGCTCCACACTGATAGTTATTTTAAAAAAAAAAGAGTTTTCCCTTTTTGGTAAAGAACTGTTGAATGAGGAATATTCGGCTGAGTCATCTTGAGGATATCCTCTTGATAATGGGAGACTTTTCTCTTTCATCCTAAAAGCAAGCTTTTCTTTCTTTGACATGGAAAAGGAAATTGAGCTTCTTATTTTAAACTGGGAGTTGCAATCTGCTATTAAAGGAAGAGGCAATTATGGCAGAGAGAGCTAAAAATATAAACCAAAGAAAAGGAGATGTGGGACAGTGAGATTTTGGAGAAAGAAGGAGAATCTATTATGAAATATTGCCTTTTGCCCTAGTCTTCAGGTAAAAACTGAAACAAAACTGTCATTCAACTTTCAGGAAGAGTAGAATAGAGGAAAAGGTATTTTTTTAAACTATGTAACACTATGTAATAGTAAATGAATATTAAATTTTGGAGGGCAATCTAATTCCAGTTTTAAGGACTGCACAGGAGCAAAGAGCAAATCTATTTCCAGGAGAAGAGAGGAGTATTGTTTGACATATGACTGGGAAACTTGAGGTTTCCAGTACAGGTAGTCCTTGACTTATAACAATTCATTTAGTGACTTTTCAAAGTTACAATGGCTCTGAAAAAAGTGACTTTCGACCATTTTTCACACTTATAACCATTGCCGCATCCCTGCAATGGATGCTTGTGATCATGTGATCATAATTCAGAAGCTTGACAACTGATTCATATTTATGACAGTGGCACTGTCCTGGGGTCATGTGATCACTTTCGGTGACCTTCTGATGAACAAAGTCAACGGGGAAGCCAGATTCGCATAACAACCGTGTCACTAACTTAACAACTGCAGGGGTTCCCTTAACAATTATGGCAAAAATTGTGGCCTGGTGGCGCAGCTGGCTAATAGCCTGTTATTAACATTCAGCTGCCTGCAATTACTGCAAGTTCGAATCTCTCCAAGGCTCAAGGTTGACTCAGCCTTCCATCCTTTCTAAGGTAGGTAAATTGAGGACCCAGTTTGTGGGGGCAATAAGCTGACATTGTATAAATATACAAAAATATGAAGGCTATTGCTTAACGCATTGTAAGACGCCCTGAGTCTCCGGAGAAGGGCGGCATATAAATCAAATTTAAAAAAAAAAAGGTGGTAAAATGGGGCAAAATTTACTTAACAAATGTTTCGCTTAGTTGGGCTCAATTGTGGTCATAAGTCAAGGACTACCTGTGTAGGCCAGCCATATCTAGCTAACATGGGCCATGATTTATATAGCAACAATAACTGTAGCCCAAGAAAGAGAATGGAAAGAAAAATGGACTTCTTTTCTTTCATGCAGAAATAGCTCTGTACAGTAACGGCCAAAATTGTGGAAACTTTTGGGAAAAGTGTATTTTTGAGGTTTGATGGCTAATAACACCACTTTTTTTTTAGAGTTTCAAGATAATCCTATTCCACTGCTGGAATGGCCTGGGAATAGCCCAGACCTTCACCCAATTGAAAATCTATGGAGCCGACTAAAGAAACTTGTTAATCAGAAGCGACCCAATAATAAAACTCAGTTAATAGAAGCAATCATTCAATCTTGGTTTCCGATTAGAACAGCTGCAGAACTAAAAGACTTGGTTCACTCCATGGGAAGACATTGTAAGGCTGTCGTTCATGCTAAAGGTTACCCAACTAAGTATTAACTGACATGGTGATAATTTTTGTACATTTCGCATTTTATGTGGTGATCATTTTTTATACCTCATTTTTTTCTACGTGTTTCACTTTTCTTCTTTATACTGTAACTGCTATTCTAACAGCAAATTAGCAAATCCTTCATAAAGGTTATTACATTACATTCTTGATTAAATTATCTTTCCATTGATATATAATTTTATGGTAGTACTCAAAAAAAAAAAAAGTGGTGTTATTAGCTAGTTTTAGAAAATACACTTTTCCCAAAAGGTTTCCACAATTTTGGCCACTACTGTATATTGGAGAAATGGAATAATAGGCATACATCCCATTTCCTATCCACTTCCTCCCAGCCAATATATTTATTTTTGGTTGGGGAGGAGATGTGTGAAAGCAAAATACCCATAGAGATAGAGTGGCTAGAGAGGCCCTATGTTTCTCTAGGACTTCTATCTTGGTAGATGTAAGGGTTAGTTAATTCTACAGTCAACAGTTTTAGCGGATGACCAGCAGGAGTTTATGTAATCCTAGGCAAAACTCTAATCCCTGGCTAATTCAACTCAAGTGAATGTAATGTAAACTCAATCTTTTACATTACCATTACCTCAAAGAGATAAGAGCTCTCCTAAGGCGATTAAATCCCACATACAAAATCACAAAACTGCTCCATTGGGCCATATATATATATATATTTTCAGTAGCATTGGGTTGACAAGTTGCCATGGTGATTCAGTCAAAGCTGGGATGTCCTTCTGGGAACTGGATATGATTTAATATCCTGGTCACACCAGTGTAAATCTGCAGCCAACTCAGTGACAAAATGAGCTTTAGGTCATGATTTTCTGCAACTTTTTTTGACAGGGCGGCTGAGAAGAGCTTGGAGACTAGAAGTGGGGACGCGGTGGGTGAACCTTAAAAAATAACCAGCCTTTTATTTTATTTTTTATTTATTTATTATCAGATTTATATACCGCCCTTCTCCCGGAGGACTCAGGGCGGTGCACAGCCAAAGTAAAAACATAAATACAAACATTAAAATACAGTTAAAAAGATATATATGCGTTTGGCCCCATAATTAAAAAACAATAACAAACCTATTAAAAACATTTAAAAACATGTTAAACCAGCCCGGCTTGTTGAAAAAGAAAGGTCTTCAGGGCACGGTGGAAGGCACCGAGGTCTTGGATTCTTCATATCTCTGGGGGCAGCTGATTCCAGAGGGCAGATGCCCCCACAGAAAAGGCCCTCCCTCTGGGGGCCACCTGTCTACATTGTTTGGCTGATGGCACCCTGAGGAGGCCGTCTCTGTGGGAGTGCACAGGTCGGTGGGAGGCCATTGGTAGCAGCAGGTGGTCTCGAAGAT